AGTTAGTGCTGAGCCTGCTGTCTCAGAGTCTCATAGCTGAGTTGCAAAGTTCCACTGTGCTAAGAGGCCTGTGTTGCATCTGCAGATACAACCAGGCACAGTTTCTCTGATATGACATTTTGCTCATATATGGAAACCATAATAAAGGTTTCTATGGTACTGACTCTAAATTAATCGTAAGGTACCACAGTTTTGCTTTTTATGTGCTCTAGATATGTTCTCTAAAGTAAAAAGTAGGGAACTGGTGGATGACAGCCCTAGGTCTCTGAATTGGTTGACCCCTTCTCCGCTTTCATGAAGTAGACAGAAGAAATAGTGGCTTTCTTTACTGGTAAAGCTGGAATAGGCTGCCCAGAGAGGTTGTGGATGCTCCATCCCTAGAGGTGTTCAAGGCCAGGTTGGATGGAGCCCTGGGCAACCTGGTCTAGTATTAAATGGGGAGGTTGGTGGTCCTGAATGTGGCAGTGGGGTTGGAGATTCATGATCCCTTCCAACCCTGGCCATTCTGTGATTCTGTGATAGGGAGGAGCACTTATGCTGATGACAGTGTCTGATCTCACCTGGGTTTTTGAGCTTTTGGAAGCTTTTGAAACTTGCTTCTGTTGTAAATCCTGAAATGAGGATGTCAGAATCTAAGCAGCGGCAGATCTTTCTGAAAGTAATCAGCTATATTCATTAGAATCATAGAATTGCTCGGGTTGGAAAAGACCTTAAAGATCACCAAGTCCAACCACGACCCAACCATACTACTCTGACTCTAACAACCCACTACTAAATCATGTCCCTGAGCACCACATCCAAATGGTTTTTAAACACATCCAGGGATGGTGACTCAACCACCTCCCTGGGGAGCCTATTCCAGTGCCTAACTACCCTTTCTGTAAAGAAGTTCTTACTATACTTTGGAGTATGCTAGGTGACTGCCAGTCAGTGGCTGGTTTTATTTCCCTCTTTCAGAAAAACAGCAATTTTAGATCAAGTCGTAAACCAGGGAACACAAACATCAGTATTATTTGGAATAATATTTTCTAGAATGAATCTAAAGTAACAAGCACTAACAAACTTACCAAGCATGTTGATACAAATATTGTTGGAACTTCAATATTTCCACAGTTCTTTGTCACACTGGATTTGTTTCATATGCTAAACCATGTTTGGGCTTAGCTGCAAAGTGTGGATCAGCATGTGAGCATTTGAAAATAAACCTGAATGAGTGACATCCCTGACATACATGACAGAGAATACTGAATCTGAAGTGTTTGATACTATATCCAGATCAATGTGTTTTCTGATTGCTTTACTGGTGCTTAGGGATATTTCCAGTAGTTTATAAAGCAGAGTAGTTGTTATGTTTCTCTCTGGGGAGTGATTGTTGTGTGTCTGGATTGCTGTGCTTCTCAGTCTTAAGCAATTCTTCTGTATTTATCCAGGCAGAAAGAGTCAGGGCAGTACCTCCAGTTTCTGTGTGCGGTAACAGTGCGTCTCTCTGAAATGGTAGATGACTGCAGTGTGAGATACAAATGGGCTGAAAGTGAGCACATTTTGTGAACATTTAGGCAAGTTACTAAGGAGTTTCACCATACTTAAGTCTTTAAACTTAGGTATGGTAATATATTCCTATACTCTTTGCTGAAATATTAGAGTTGTTTTGCTCTTATCCCTGGCTGATTGAAACTTCCTCTCCATTAGAGTAATGATGAATGTTCTCTCTTCCACAGGATTATAAAGAGAAGCTTATCCGAGAAGGTAAATACGAGCGACCGTTCAGTGTTTTTTAAGTTGCTGGAATCACAGTGCTGCTCTTGAGACAGAAGTAAATAAGATGTACTGTATGCTGATGTTTCTCCTTCAGAAGAATAAATCTTAATTACTCCTCAGTCGTCTTCCATCTTTAATAATTATGGAAAGTGCAACTGTGCAGAATCTTTATATCTATTGCAAATAGATACAGAGAGCATGTCCTGAGCTCACCAGTTAACTCCTTTGTTATAAAGATTTCTTTTAAAACGTGGAAGTTGCTGCTGTTAGAGCAGTTCAGGCTGAAGGTTAAAATTAATAGCAGGTTAAAATATTAAGCAATCCCTATACAGTTTTCTAAAAAACAATTGCTCATTTACTGGGAACTTCTTCTGTTGTTGGTTTGACTATGTAGTTTGCCCAAATCAGGTAATAGACAACTCCTTTTCTATATGCTAGTTAACTATTTAGGAGCCTGCCTGCCTGTTCTCAATAAGTTGATTTTTTCCTTTCCTGAAAAAATACAATCCTACACCCTATATTTGAAATAAAATTGCTGTACCAGTTCTGGAAATAGTGAGCTGGACATTGTCACTTTTTATGTGACTAAGCGTTTCCACAAATTTTGTGATTCCTGTGTGCAGAAGATCAAGAACTAAAAAGATGAGGCGCTTCTTTTCAGCAGTGGTTCCTTTGCAGGAAAAGAGAAAACAATTTCTCCCCTGGAAACAAGCTATGATATATATAATAAACATTTTAAAAGCATAACGCATAATGTAAAAGTATCTGCTTATTCTCTGCCAGGGTCAACTGGTGTAGGATGACTACAGAACTGTCCCCACAAAGTAGTGAAATGTGATTGTGATGAAAAGATCTTAACTCAGAATTGAATTCTCAGATGGCCTCTAGGTGCCATCACAGTCCAAACAACCCTCATTCTTCAGACAGTGTAAAGGATTTTTTTTTTCCTGAATGTTGAGGTCAGCATCAAAAATGTTGCCTTAAACATGAGTTACAAATCCTCAGTCTGCTGTGAGTGCAGCCTACATTATTAACTGCAAAGCAGGTCAGCTCTGGTGGGCGTTCTGTCCTGCATGATTAGGATGTTGGTATACGGGCCATTTGGAGTCTCCCTCCATCTGAGCAAACTGATGAGCCTCTTCACAGAATCAAAGAACAGCTGGGTTTGGAAGGAGGAGGAGCTGGAGGTCATCTTGTGCTCCTCTCCTGGCTCAAGCAGGGTCTTCTAGAGCTGGGTCAGAACTGTCCAAAAGGCTAACATCTCTGAAGCAGGTGTCCTCTGTGGGCAAACTGCTCTAGTGCTGTCACAGTAGATATGTGTTTGCTAATATTTAAGACAAAAAAAAAAAAAAAAAGTTTTTAAAGAAGTGTTTCCTGTTCTAACTCGTCACTTTCTTGCCTGGGTCATGAAATGTTCAGATCAGCTGGAGGCTTGGCAGTAGTAGCATGCAGTGGCTACTCTGGACTTTGGCCTGCTTTTGCAATCCCATATGTGCTCCCAGCAAGCCCTCTGCACCTGTCTGTAACTTGCTCTCCTGCTGCTTTAACTAAAGCACACCTCGATAATTCTCTTTGCAGGACTGCTATTAGAAGGTTATTGTAAATGGTGCTACAAAATACAGCTGTGGGTCATTGCAAGAGAAGAGGCATCAATGCATGGAGGATGTGATATGTAGGGAAAAAAATAATTGCTTGTCTGAGCATGCTAAATTAACTATCTTCCTGCTGCCATAAACTAATTTGATTTCCCAGGACTCATTTCCTCAGCTAATTGGAACTTCAGTTGCCACACGTATAAATTTTGCCTTGCAGCTGTATTGTTTTAGGCCAGTTGAACAAATTGTTCAGGATGGGTTGTGGATGAGAGCAGCATCTCTGATCTTCTAGGCCAGCCTTTGGCTGGCTTGCTGCACCTGCAGGAGTGTCTGCTATATCCCCGTGGGTTTGAGCATGGTGATTGGAGGAAGGCTGCCCTATTTTTCTCTTGTGCTACTTCCAGATCTCTCCAGGCTGGTGTTTTTTTTTGTGTGTGTGTGAGGAACAAGCATGTGTTGCTGGGGGTGAGGTTGGTAGTTTGAGGCTGTGTGCTGGGTGAGCTGGGGAAGAAGAGGGGTGTTTCCCTTCAGAAATGAAGAGAGAAGACAGAAGGGTAAGTGTGCCTGATGGAATTTTACCCTTGACTGATGTGTAACAACTTATTTCTGCTACAGTGATAATTCTGTAGCAAGAGAAACCCAAGCCTGCAGGTAATTGGGTCATAATTTATGTCCCAAACAGAAAACAAGGTTTTCCTCTCAGCCTGTGAAACATTTAGACCTCATTTATCCCTGGATCAGTCTGATTAAGTCAATTTTTCTGACAAATGGAGCCTCCTGATTGTCATCTTCTGAGTTGGCTATTTTAAAGTAAACATCTCGCTGTAGATTATATAACGTAGTGCTTTGCTCCAAGCTGATGTTTTTCTTCCCTGAAGGATCTGGTGTAGATCCAAGTCTGATGATATACGTAACTGACTGAAGTTAGGTGTTCCAGCTCTGCGTTTCCTTCTCTTTTGGGAAGTGGAAGATTGCTCCTTTGGAGAAGCAGGAAGCACAGATCCTCCTGGTAGCAAACGTAGTAACAGTTTCGCATCCTAGACTGAAACATGCACCCAAACTGTTTCGTTTTCATGGGCTCAGTAGGAGAAATCAGTTCCCTCAGAAAATGAAATGAGCATGATTTTAAGCAAATTAATTCAGGATCTGAGAGGCAAAGTGCTTGGCAGCAACGTTTAACACTACCTGACTAAATTTGGTATTTCAAAATGCTGTTTTGATATCACAACAAAGAGTCCATGTGCTAAAGCAGAGGCCTGAAGGTTGGTTGTGCATCTCATTCCTAGAATACTTGTTTGGGGTTTCCTTTTCTGCCCGCACCCTGTGGAACAGGAGGGTGGCTCAAAGTCACCACCTAGGGATGAAGCTTGAGTATTCCTGTGGTTTTTGAGGTTCTTCATAAAAGAGACCTCATCAATTGTTGACAAAGAAGTCAATGTTGATGGACAGCTAAAATAAGATTGAAAAGGAAGCTTTTCCTTAACTGACAGCGAAGCGCTTTGGATTCTCTGACCTTTTCTAATCTGCAGAATGTTTTTCTGACCATAAGGGCTCTTCCTGGCAACCATCCACAGCCCAGCAGGCTGAAATGCCGTGTTCTGGTAGGAGACTTACATCTGATAGAGCTTTCAGCTCTGTTTGGAAAAGTCTTCCCTTGCAAGTGGCATGAAATGCCTCACTGATCTTCAGCTTCTCCCTGTGAAAGGCACATCACACCATATAGTGAGGAGCCCCCGGAATGGTGGCTATCACCTTGCATCTACAGCAAGTACAGCATTCATAGCAACTGCATATGATGAGAGACCCTCATGTATTTCAGCTCCAGAGTGGCACCAGGATAGCTTTAATTGGGTACTTGAAAGCTAAAAATAGTGGTTTTAATTTCATTTCCTGAATTACATAGGCATGGTCATTTTGTTGACTTTGGTCACTTGGTGGCTTCTGGAAATGCCATTCTGCACTCTTGTTGTCTGAGCTGGCTGTGCTGCCACGTATAGGTGTGCTGGGTTTCTCTGTTTTCATTCATACACTGCAAGCAACAAATCCATCTCTTTATTTGCAGTTAGGGTTGAAGTGGCTTTTCAGAGGTTCCCAGCACTTGTAGTAGTTTTTATCGAGGCGGTTGGAGGTCTTGAGGCCCCACTCAGTAACAGCCATACTGAGGGAAGATTCAAACATGAAGGCCTGGTGGGAATAGGAAAAGTAGGTTAGGATAAGGGAGAGTCTGAATCCAGGCAAGGGGGCTCTACTCTAGCACAAACAGGAGCTGTGCACATGTCCAGCTCTGCCAAATTCTTCATCTGACCTGATGAGACCAGGGGGAGAAAGCAACTCCCAGCAGAGATAGGCACATCTCTTCAGAGTTGGCGCTACAGAGCTGGTGTTAGCCAGGTCCCAGGAGTAACTTTGGACTCTGCATATCCTGAAAGCCAGGTTGCTCAACGAGCTCTAGCTCTGAGCCTGTTGGTGACGATAATTTTATTTTAAGGAGTAAGAAAGGAAAACAGTTGTGGGTTTGACTTCTTTGTCCATAGCCTAAGACAAAAATTAAGTTAATCGGCATGGAAATTCCCAGCTTCCTGCTCAGGCAACAACTTATGTGGTCAGAAGATCAAAGCTGCCACATCTCATATCCAGTCAGCCAGAGGTGTGAATGCTGTGGCAATTTGTTCCAAGAACTTTTCCACTTTGCTTGTAAGAAGCTAGGCTTTGTGAGTGTCTCACCAGCAGGATGCTGCTGAGTACAAAACCTTGTGCTGGGTACAAAACCTTACAGGCTCCTTACCATAGTCCCTTCTGCAACTCTCTCAGGCTCCAACTTGGCTTTGCTCGCCTTCTCAAAACAGTCAGCGTCTGGCCCATGTGGAGTCATCATGCTGTGCAAGCTGGCACCTCCAGGCTGGAAGCCCTCCTCCTTTGCTTCATAATGGCCTTTGATGAGCCCCATGAACTCACTCATGCAATTCCCTAAGGAAAGCATAGAGAAAAGTTTGTGACACAGAAGCAGCAAAGAGCTCGAAACCCACAAACCGGGTAGTATGGGGAGTGGAGGTTAATAAGCATGGCTGCAAAAAAGGAGACATCAGGGATCCTACAGGCAGTGCTTGCAAAGTGGTAAAGGTTTTATCACACTTTCAGTTATCTGGAGTCAGAAACAGAAAACTCCCTAATATGAAGGAGCATTGATGTGGGTAGACGTGTGTTTTTCCTGCTACATTGAGCTGCGTAAGCACTGAAGCTGCATACAGACTGTATGAGTGACTTGGTATCTACAGACCAATATTAGAGATATTAGAGATCTGAAAGCACTGGAAAGGTAGTTCAGTGTAATCATCCTTGTGTTATAGGTACTGAGGCACAACCACCTGGTGAGACAGCCTAGGCTGGAAGCACAAAATTATTTTGTTCTGTGTCCTTCTGGCACTCCAGTCCAGCCAGGGACTTCAGTACCTTATGCTTTTGATGCACACAGGATCTGCTTAGTTCTCAAGAGCCACCGTGTGCACAAAGACAAGGAGACAAATTCTGTCTTTCCCTGAGGAAGAATACCTTAGGCAGACCCTATGAAACTAATGGAGTGATGTACCCTAACTTAGCTACAGATGGCCAAATCCAATAATGCAGTACTTATTAGTTATACTCCCTCTGAAGAAAGTATGTTAATAACTGCCATTGCAGCCTTCCAGCTTTAGTAGATCTGATGTGACTAAACAATATGGCAGCTTTCTGCTGAGTGGTCAGTTTGCTGCAAAACCAGGACATGCTTCTGCAGCTCTGCTATCTATAGCCCTTTTTAACCACTTGTTCTGTCCTTGTTAAGTACAACCTGAGGCCTGAAATACTTAACAACAAAACTAATTTAGCTCTGAGCACAGTTGGCCTAAAAATGTATGCAAACAATCATTTATTTTCATCACATGTTGTCAGCATATCCTGTAGGAGTCGATTGTACAGGCTTTTCATTGAACTCACTTAAGTGCTGTGCTTGGAGCAATCAGGGAACAGAACAGGCTGTGAGAGTTTCATTGCCAATATGTGTCCACTACATAACTCATCATATCACTTAGGGAGAATGGGCTGGTGAGTAGGAAGCCAGGCTGGGACTTATGTGTTGAGCAATTTCTTGTTCAATTGCAGGTTTCCTATGTGACTTCCAGCAACTTTGGTGTGCTTCTGCTCCCTGTCTGTAAAATAGCACTATCCTCTCCAAAGACAATGTTGCGAAGTCAAAAAACCTCAGTGGCTATTAGATATTCTGTCCTACCAAGATAAGAATCATACAAACACTCTCTCAGATGCAATATATACACCTGGTATAAAAGAGGTATTAGATATATTTCTACCTCTGGCCCAAAGACTTTAGGAGTAATTCATAGCCTCCAGGCATGCAGAAAGTGACTGAAAGAAATTGTACTTATGAGTTCCACAGCCATCTTTGTATTGAAATAGTTGTGGTGTCTAGGGGTGTCTGCTAAGGTGGGAAATTTTTGGAACACCATGGCTATATTCCTGCCTGAGCAAAGTTAAGGCACCAAGAAAACCGTAACTCTGAGTGCACCAAAATTCTCTGAATGCTTCTTTGAACAGACTTTTTAATGCACATAAGAGGAGGCCAAAGGGGGTTTCTGGGAAAAGAACTCTTTAACTCTCTTCAAGATCTCTTGAAAAATGTTTGGAAGAGAAGATTTACTGAACTAGTGTTTCTCCTACCCCCCAGTTTCTTGTCCTGCTATGCTCTGCAGTGACACAAAGTTCTCATCACAGCACAAATTTCTGAGGGAACTAGTAAGTACATGTCCTGAGGACTAGCTGTTGTGATGCCAACTGTACCCATTCAAGCTTTAGTCCTCTAGTGGGCTAGAGCAGATGCACTGTGGTCGCCATGGATTCAGTGCTAAACCTATGGCCAAGGCATTGTGGTCAAACGAATACCTGTGGTAGCTGTCTGCATGGAGTCTGGCAGGGTAACCCAGTGTGGAGAGCCAGGCTTCTAGCATCCATTCAATGCAATATGTGGCAGGGACTACCAGAAAGAAACTACCCCTAGGGGTGGTGACAAAATCCCCCAAATACAGCCAGTTCTCAATCTGAGAAGGAGCCTAGTTCCTTCCTCTGGCTTTTGTAAATGCCAGTGGTACCTCCACCACTGTGCAGCAGTGAAGAGGGACTCAGGAGAGCCAACCCAACCCTTCACTGCAAGTCTGAGATCACCCTGCTAGATCACGGCCAGCTCTCACAGTGCTTTACTCCATGCGTGTTGTCCATTCTCCCGTTCTTTTGTACCCTAATGAGTTGTTCTGTAATTCATGGCTAGATGGCAGGATAATATCTGACCTGTTCATGCAGTGAAATTTAAGTCTGTACCCTGTCTCAGCAGGAGCCCCTTGGGTACAGGCACAACACCTACACAAGCACAACCGGCCCTCACCTCTGAGTTTTCCCGAGATTCTGCAAATAAGAACATCTCTGGTTTTGTTCATTTTCAAGGAGAACTCACTGACTCCAAGAAGCTGTGTCTAACTGTGCCAAGGGCAACAAATGAGACTTTTTCACTGTGTGTGCTTTCAGATAAATGGAGGCTTGGTTTTTCTGCGCCTCTGCACTCAAATCAAACCCACAAAGACCAGACGTACTGTGGTAGTAAGGCGGCCGGAAGGTGTTGTTGGCAACCCCCCATCGTGGAGGGAATATGACAAAGTCAGCTATTGCCACTCCAGGACGGGTTGACTTGGCTGTCAACACAGTGAAGATAGATGGATCCTGAAAAAAACAACAAAGCAAAAAGCATCAAACAGAGCATGACTCAGGTCACCCCATCGATAAATCTGGATATGAATATGCATAACAGACCTTGGCCTTTCCCTGCTTTCTTCAATTTGAGGATCTCAAAATAATTTGCTTTCCCTCCCTTCTCATCATAAAGGGTCACAATTCCCCCTTGTGTAGAGGAGAAAGCTGTGACAGAGGGAGCAAGCATGGTATCTTTAGGATTTGGGATGCAGCACTGTGACTCCAGGAGCAGTCTCCAGTGCTCCTACCATGAAACTGCACCTCTTTCTTGACAGCTTTTGGAGCACAACATCCTACCAGGGGTATTTGCCTCACAGCACCAGTGGCTGACTAACAGGGAGAACAGAGTGCAGATAAATTGTCACTTGCTTCAAGGATTTTTGAAGTTTCCACTCCAGTAGAGCGATTTTCTGGGCTTTGATCCCAAACCTGTCTTTCTCCTGGCAGGTTTTTCTAGAAATTAAACAATGCTTTTTGCTGGTTGTCTCCCTAGCGGTGCTTCCATCTCCTTGCACACCCACTTGCAGAAGGAGTGCCAGGAGATGGTATGGCTGTGGGCACCTCTCCCACTGGGCTGGTTTCCTTTTTAGAAGAGCTGCTCATATTGATTTTGGCTTTAGTTACTTTCCATAAGATCTAGAAATTATTGCAATGAGAGCTGCCAGCTCTTGGAATGTATTTCAAGGGTTCAGATGAACCATGGGAAGGAGCCTGTACAATTGCAATAAAATCAAAACAAGAATTTTAAGCACACATCTTTTCTCTGAGTTACATGGTGCATACTGGCTTCAGTATTCAGCCTTCTTCCAGAGCGCAGGCTTTCTATGCTAAGCTGTTTAGGAAGCTGATCAACCTCCACTTCTGTCATTGCACCACCATGGAGGCTGTCTTTTTTTTCTTTTTTTTTTTGCAAGGGCTTGTTTGAGGCCCACGAAAACAAATGTGGCAGATTTCACACTGTTTCTTATAGCATAGTGTATTTTTTAACAGTCACTGGGACCCTGGAGCTCTGGGTGAATTCTGATGGTACAGCATCCACAAAGCTTTGCTCTGCCTTGCCTGGCTCCAGAACTTACCGCATGGTCAAAAGCGACAGAATTAATGACCATAAAGTTTTCCAGATGGTATTTGTATGGTGTGTAGTTCCCATGCCAGGCTACAACGTTGAAGGGGGAGAAATCCTGTCAAAGCAATAGGGACAGAGAGAACGTTACCACACACAGCTCTCCACCTTTCTGCACACACACACGGTGCTGCCCCTTCTCAAGGGTTAAAATGGGTTTAGTGCTGGTGAGAAATGTACAGACAGCCTGGAGAACAAGGCCCTTCAGGCACAGCCTGATGCTGCAAGGTCATGGTTTTCCTCAGCATCCCCACCTGGAGAGCCTTAGCCCTACCTCCAGGGCTCCATCTCTGAAGAAGTTTGAGTACCAAAGCTGTGCTTGAACAAGGTGGACTCCAGTGCTGGCTGGCTCTCCAGCATTTAAAATTGGCATTGGGTTTTCCTATCTGGTAGAAACATGGGTATGTAGAAATAAGGAGGCTGAGACCACCAGTGAGTCTTTGGGTTAAGCAAGTTTCCATGGACTGTTTTTGCAAATTGAGGAGCCTCAGCTGGGGAGATAAAGGAGCCAAGGTGAGAGTTCAATCCTATTCCATTTCACCCAGCTCAATGTCCTGAGACAACATGCATGCTAACAAGTTGTAGAGACAGCATTATGCACTGGTGGCTGCTCCAGTGTTTTCCTGTGGCCTCCTTACCTGCTGGGCTGCGAACAGCTTGCCCTGGTACTTGCTGATAACTGTGTAGCCCCCTGGAATTTTCCGGTCCTCATACCATGCTACTGGCACCAAGAAGTCACGTGGGTTTGCCAGGCCATTGGCTCCTGCAAAAGAAAGAAATGTCAGAGCATGCTGGGCAACCTGCTAACAGGGCTCTGTGGGTGCCCTTTTGCACTGGGACTGACCACACTTTTTCTGGGTCCATCATGAAATCTCCAATATTCATGTGCTTCTTTGGCTCCTATAAATAGATAATTTTAATATATCCTAGCATTTTGGTTCATGTTCCCTTATGTGACTAAGACAAGTCTCCTTCCATTCTTTCCTAAACAGGGTTAGTCCTTCAACCTCTATTAAAGGTGTGTAGATATTGGGAATTAAGCAAAAAAAATGGAGGCTGAATTGCTCTCTATTCCAGGACATCCTGCTGCTTGGACACTTAGAAATGCAGAAGCATGTCATGAGGGAGCAAAATGCTTTTCTGAACAAAAAAGTAATAAAATGAGGGCTAGTGATACTTGTAGACTTTGAGCATACTAAGGGGTGGTTAGTGTGAGGAGTGCATTTTCACAATGCAAAGCACCATATGGGTGCTGCAATATTCTTCTTCTCATTAGCATTACTGTTGCAAAGTGTTTTGAGTTTCTTGGATAAAAATGCAAGACATTACTACCTGCTGCTAAGGTTTAACAGTCAGTGCTTTTCTCCAGCTGCCATTTTTCAAGTGAAAAGTAAAGTTAGAATAAAATAAGAATGAAATACAAAGAATCTTGGTCTCTGAGGGGAAGATAGGTAGGTGGTAAGAAGAGGAGCTCTCATAATTACCATCTCCTGAAAAGGTCTACAGGCAAGGGCACTCGTTTTCTTTTCTGCAGAAAGTAAATGTTATAATAGATTCCTGCCTTCTGGAGACCAAAAAGCCCTCCTCTCCAACAGTGTCTGAAAAACTAGCTAATGGGAAAACTTCCCACGAACAGGCAGGTGTAACAATAGCAATAATCAAGTGGAGCAGGCACATAGCACAAGAAGCAAGGTGAAGGCAGGCAATCCCAACTTGCTAAAAGGAAAGCTGATGAAAAAATCAGTATAGATTCAGTGTGGGAAAAGCTGTGCAGAGCATGTCGCACGGGACAGATGCTGGAATGGGGCCCAGCCAGGGACTGCAGGCTGGGTAGGCTCCTACCTGTGGGCTCCAGAGCTCCAGCTTCACTATGGCTGTGAGGTGCTTTCATAGGCCTTCAGTGCTTACATGCTGTGCCAGGCTTGTTGCTAGTTTAGAATACCTATTCGGCTTACCTCAAGCACAACCAGTATTTTAGATCTCACTGGGAGCCATAAAACATGCTCAGCCAAGGGAAAAAGGAGGCAGATGAGGTCTGTGATTTGTGAGAGCCCTGGGCCTGTGCTGCCTGAAAGCAGCTCTGCTCCAGCAGCCCAGTGCAGAGACAAGGCTGTGTGGCTGATCTGAGCCTTGTGCTGCTCGTGTTGCTGATCCCTGCTTCTCCAAGGGAAAACCTTCTGACACTTCCTCCCTCCTTCCTTTATACACTTATTATGGCATGGAAAATAAACACAGGTCATTATTTTTCAAACTACAGGCAATTCAGCAAATCCTCCAAGTTTCTTAACCAGAAAGGAAAGTTTCACCCAATATTGTGGTTCATGACCAAACGTTAATGAGCTTTAATGAGACACGGTGCCTGTGCGGACAGCAGCAAAGTGCTCAGCTTGCACAGTCAAAACACTGGCTTGTACACACACACAGACATTTTGTTTTCTCTGCTTTTTATCTGGCATTCCCATTGTGTTGAGTCTCTGGCTGTGTATTAGAAAGCTGAGTCTGGTTATGGGAACAAAAGTGTTAGCATAGGCAGAAGGGCAAAATGCTTTATTAACTCTAAAATAAGGCTTCAAGTGTATCCGTTGCCTCTGAAATTCACCTTTCCTTTTACCTGCTAAACTCTCTCCAACTACTCCATATCTGTAAGAAGGAGCCATCAAAGTGTCAGCAGCCTCGGACTTGCAGACCAGAGGAAGAAAAGGAAGGTGGAAAAGTGAGTGGGAAAGAAACAGTCCCTCCAGACCCAGGGGAAAGTCATGATGGCTGAACTGTCTCTGCTCCCCAGTGCTCTGCTGGAGAATAACAGTGCCAGGATGGAATCTGCCTTTAGGGAGGAATGTGTGCATGGGAAGATGGATTACATGGGAGATAAGAGATAGTTTGACAATTCCTAACTCTTTCCCTTTGGAATGCACTGTAGGTCTGATAGGAGATGGTTACCAATGGGTCCCAGGTCAGGTAGCTCAAAGTGTGCCCCGTACACCTCCAGGATGTAGCCTCTGGTCTCTCCAAACACCTCCACACTAAAACGCATTCCTTGCTGGAAAATAAAGGAAGAAGTCAGGATCATCCCTGTACTTGCTAACAAACCAAAAGCAACTTAATTCAGGACATGCCAGACATGCTGTAGCTTTGGCTGCCTCTAGCAGACCCTCAGATTGCCCCAGGCCTACATGTGGCTGTGTGACCTTCTGTGGCCATGCATCCCAGCATGTGAAGTGCCGCTCTTTGAATTGGGTGCCACTGCATTCTCCACCTGCAATGGGTACCATCTGGGGCTCTGCTACATGATGGAATTGGCTTCTGTTGGGTTCCCCTGGTCACTCCAGCCCCACAGAGCTCAGCATAAACTACACAGTGCTCAGGTTTTTGCTGTTTGCTCCAACAACGGGCCCTCCACCTAACCACAGTCCTTACCTGGATAACACAGATTTCATTGGGCTCCACTAGCATCTTCCCAAACTCAGTTGTGATGAGCAGTTTTCCCTGTTGGGGCACTGTGGAAATAAAATGGGCGTAGAAGAGATGATGGAACAGGCTGTCACTGTGTGTGATGGCTTCCTCTCGGTCCTCTTAGAAGGGGACAATTACGTTAGCTAGGTAGTAACTTATTCTTCCTGCTTTCTGAGAACATAAGTAGTGCTTCACTAATGTCTTTCTTTGTAGTATTTTCAGCAGTAATTTCTTTGGCTTTTTTGGCACCCATTTCTCACATTTTGACATGGAAATGTGACAGATTTACAAAACCTGCCCTTTACCTCAATTACTAAGGAAGGTGGGCGTCCATACTATTTTATGAGAGAAATGTTCCCACTGGTGACCACGAAACATTTCTGTCCCTTGGCTAAAAACGATGCAGGTAAATATCAGGCTCTTGGTCTTGTGATGCTGTACAGAGTATTTTTCTGCACGCACACTCTTCATGTGCCAAGCTCAGCTCTCATCATGGCAGTCTGCTTGCCTGAGGCTGGCGGAGTGTGGGAGCTAAGCTACCATGCCAAATCATCTTGGACTAAAGCAGTGAAGGCAATTCACTATAAGCTGTTAAGAAATTCTAGAGCTTATGTTTTCCAGAAAACCTCCGGTGTGCCTGCTAGGGATCTGGGAAGGGATCTCTGAGAGCCAGGCTGGGAAAGCTGGGTCGCTGCTCAAAAGCAACAATGAGTTTTGGCATGGGTGTGCTCCGTCTGTGCTGCTTGGTAGTGATGGGACAAGCCTGACAGCCCAGCTATTGCCAAACCACCACATCTGGATGGCATGTGAGTGAAGTCATCCCTCCTCATGTCTTTGCAGATGGCTGCCAGGCTCTGGCTCTGAAGGAGGAAATAAGCAGGCAGGTGGCAACCCAGATATGCCCTGCAGGAGAAAGGAGAAGCCAGTGCATCAACTCACCAATCAGGAAGTCACCGTCTGAATTATAAAGGCATCTAAAGGAAAAGGAGAACAGGAAGGTCAAAGCTTCACTTGTACATATGCTCCTACAGGATCACAGCACAGCTGAAGCTGGACCTCTGGAGGTTACTGGCCCAAACTCTGCTCAAGCAAGGTCACCCAGAGCAGAGTGCCCAGGACCAGGATCAGACCATGACCATAGCAGGGGAGTTTTGAGCTGGGACACCAACAGAAATGCAACACATGGGTCGGGGAAGGTGACACACAGGCAGGTGCAGGTTTGATGTGTACAGCCTGGAAGCAGGTTCTTTTCCCACTTTGATGTTGTCTCTGTGGCCTTGGATGAATCAGCCTTTGGCAATGGGTAGCGATGCTCTCCAGAGGCTGTATTCACCTCCGAGGAGCTTTGGTCCTTGGGACAAGAGCCTCTGGGCACATCACATCTCCTTTACCTGCATCCCTGCATCCATATCCCTCATTCAGCCCAGCCTCCAACAACCAGTCCCTGACCTGTCAAGCATGGAGGTGTTGCAGACGAAGATGTGGATGGCGATGCCGCTGCGTCCTCGGGGCTCTCCGGCGCCGCACAAAGTGTGCAGTCCCTGCAGGCAGACCCCAGGCCTTGGAAATGAGTGCCAGGCAGTCAGGATGTGCAGCCCCATCCTGCTTCATCCCATCCCTTGGCTGTGTATCAGCCAACTGCTTTGCCACTTTTTGCTTTAGCCAATTAGTTTGCTTTTCTTTGAAATCCTAAGCCCTGGCACCCCAACTTACATTCACAAAGTCCAGCTTGTTCTGGGAGGCTTTCGGTATTTCAAAGGGCTTCCATCTCAGCTAGGTTGCAGCAAACAGAAAGCAAAAAGGGAACAAGGTGGTTATAAGATAAATAATGGCAATTCAAGAGGAAGCAGCCCGCTCCCCCTCCCTATTGCCCTCTACTCGCTGAGATAGCTTCTGTTTCCTCTTTGCCTTGCTTAATTTGGTCTGCAGGTTTCTTTTGATTTATGGAGCTCTTTCCCTTTGAGTCATAATTTTGTAAAGTAATTGGCTGGCCTGTCTGAGAGCCAAGGTTGGTGGTTTTTTTTTTTTTTAAATCCTATTTAAAAGCTGTCTGTTCCTCTATTACTAACAACACTGCTGAGAGCAGGGAATTTCCTCCCAAGGCCTAGTGGGACCCCTAGGCAGAATGTGCCAGAGGAGTCCCCAGTGTGCTTGTTACCACTAAAGAGCATCATTAGGGTCTCACTGTATCTCTTCAGAATCAGGTGCCACAGCTATGAGCCCATTGCAGGAGGGATTTTGGTACAAATTCACCCAAACACCTGAAATCCTGCTGGTTCTGGCCATCAGAAATGTCTCCTGCACAGATATGCTGTGCCTCAGATGAAATGCAAGTAGCTCTGGCCATCCAGAGCTGGGCATTTCTTTACTGTGAGAGTGGTGGTGAGGTACTGGAACAGCTGCCCAGAGAGGTTGTGGATGCCCTGTCCCTGGAGGTGTTCAAGGCCGAATTGGATGGAGCTCTGGGCAACCTGGTCTAGTATTAAATGTGGAGGTTGGTGGCCCTGCATGTGGAAGGGGGTTGGAGATTCATGATCCTTGAGGTCCCTTCCAACCCTGGCCATTCTGTGATTCTGTGATCCAGGAGAGTGGTTGGGAATGGGCAGCCACTGACAGCATGGATACATGGATGGACAGACAGCAAGAGAAGACGCAGAATGCAGCAGGGATAGAGTGGGGACAAGAAGAGAAAAAAAAAATGGTTATGAAAGTGGTCTAAAAGGAAGTAAACAGTGGGAGAAGGAGAGCAGAGATCAGCTTGCAATCCAGCTCACAGGTGGTGCTTCTCTGCCCAAATTTTGCAAGCTGCTAAGCCACTGACTGGTTCCATGTGCCATTTACCCAGAGGATCCCTGTTGAGTTTGCACTTTACTGCTGTAAGTACAGCAGAACTGGGGTGTTGAGTCAGACATCCACATGGGTGCTTAAAACAGAGAAGCTATCAGTGGTGCTTCATTTTCTCCCTGCCCAGAAATCGTGGCTTCCTTTGGCCAACTCTTTTTTGTGCTGGAGATCTTTCTTCTGCATCAGCATTCTTTGCATGGATACCATGTCTTATTTTTTCACCCTCTTTGTCTCCATCTATGCTTTGTGTACACTGTGCTTTTTATAACTCTGCCATTGTCTTTGGGCAGCATTCAAGGCTAAAGGTTTTTTTTTTTTTTCCCCATTGGCTTCAATGAGCTGTGCATGAGACAGCTCCACATGGTAATCCCTTCAGATGGATGACAGTGGGAAAAGCTGTGGTGTGAACTAGGTGAAGTGCAGAATGCCATGGGGAGCTGGGGATGGGCTGGGAGCCTGCACAGCTGCAGTTGAGCTGTGTTTGGGGAGGAAAACTGCAGGAACCTAAACAGCAGCCTGTCACCTGTGCTCAGTCAGTGGCTGGAAAACATGTTCCAGCAAAACCAGGCAAGTATTTAGACAAATGGGGAGGCCACCAGGAGGCTGCAGGATGGCTAACGATGATGCATCAGAAGAGGGAGGAGCAGAAATCAATGAGCACGAGGTTATGTCAAAAGGAGCACAGCAGGAGGAAAGAGGCAGATTAGCAGAGCTAAATGTCCTGGGGCTGGCAGGAAAGAAATAATGATTAAAGATGATAGCAAGGCCGTAACAGAGGGAAACAAACGCTGTGCCTCTCCAGAATGGAGCTTGATTTCCCAGGAGGGCTGCAGAGGAGCAGGCTGGCAGCCAGCAGCCTCCTGGCAGGAGGTGATGGCAGTGTAGGCCCCAGTGTGAGCCTCAGATGCGGGAGGATGAAGGAGCAGCCCGCATCCTGCAACCCGCATCATACCAAGGGCTGTCCCCCATCCCTGGCTGGAGGGCAAGGTTACCTGGTTGGGGTCAGGCTCCACCTCATCCCAGTTGTGTGTCAGATGGCCCTCGTGCAGAGGCTGGAAGGGCTTGTGGCAGACAGAGGGCAGGATCCGATAGAGCCAGCTGTGGGGAGGGACATGGATGGTATGAGGCTGGGGAAGAGGTGAGGTCCTCTGTGCAAATGAACCCCAGTGGGCAGGAGGAATATTTGTGTTGGTGGCCACTGGAGCAAGTGGTATATTACATATTGAATGTTGTCTCACAGTCCGAGACTTCCAGAGAGGTAGGGGGATTCTAGAGGGATTTTATTATATTTGTAGTGAAATACAGCTATTTCTCAGGTGGGAACAAAGGCTACATAAAGACTGAAGTTCAAGAGTTCTAATGAGCATAGTACCTAACTAAAAGACCAGAGGAGCTTCAGGAGCTAGAAGATCACAGCCAACACCTGAATTTGGGTAGACTGCTGAAATCCTGTATGGCTGCATACACCTGTGGGGTCAAAGTTTTATGGGAGATGAGGCCTCCTAGCACCACAGAAAGTCCCCCATGCCTCCATCACTGTCTGAGTATTATCTGGAGGTCTCTTCCTGATCACTGTGAGAGCTGCCAGCCCCCTGCCTAGTGTGATTCAGCTGCCCAGTTGGCTGCTGAACAGTTTATGCCACCATCCTTTGAGGCTCAGCAATGTGGTGGGCTCACCATGTCATCCTGCACCACTGGAGCCCATCACCCTTTGCAGGGCGAGCTCTTCTGATAGAGGGCAATGGCAGCCCAAGAATGGACATCTCAGAAGCCCCTCAGAAACACATGAGTCTGACACTTGGTTTGTGAAAAGAAAAGGTTTCTCAATCCAGGGCTGATGTCAGTGTCCTGCCCCCATGTCCCAAGACATCCAAGGGCACCTGCATGTGTCCTGATTTGTCCCCACGTGTGCCACCATCATACCTCCTCCTGTTGGTGGCCCGGGGACAGGTGAAGGCTGAGCCCGAGAGCTGCTCCGCGTAGAGGCCATAGGGGCAGACCTGTGGGTTGTTCTGCAGCGGGGAGAAATAGGAACCAGCTGTGAAGGATGTGAGGCACTCAACCCCAGTCAGTCTGTGAACAGCCCAGATAGCCTTATATCCCCACTGTCAGGATGCCCAATATGTACCAGCCCAGCCTAAAATCCATTCCTCTGTAGCATCACCTGGAAGCTCTCACAGCCATCAGGAGCTGCTAGCACCAGAATGCAGTGAGAGCACCATAGTAAAGAGTGTTATTCCCAGCACTTACAGACAGTATATTATTACAGTCTGTAAGTGCTGTCTCTCTTCTCTTTTTTTTTTTTTTTTTTGGCAGCCATACACTGTTCACTGCTTCCCTCCCTTCTGCAGGTTATGGGTGAGAATCCTGTCCCTGCCATGCTGGGTCACCCTGCAGCATCACCTGCCAGGGAAGAATCAGTAAGAGGAAAAGCTCCCATCACATATCTCCCACCCTGCAAACTCTGTTTTGTTGGCAAGGGTACACAGTGGAGCAGGGGGATCAATAGCCTTTGTCATTTTTATCTGAGCCAGCATGACTGCAGATGCTGGTCTTACAAATACTGCAGTGGAGAAAGGATCCACCCTTGGGACTGAAGATTTTCCATCTACTTCATAGTCATGTTTTCTATTAACTCTTTCTATGCTGAGCCCAAACTCTGTCCTAATGAGGGCTCTTTGGTGGGATACTTCAGCAAAGCCAGGAAATTCCTGCTGCCATAAGGAGACCCACAGAAAGGAGAGAAGGGACTGAGTGCATAGCACCACATGAGAAGTGAATCCATTAAAACAACCCAACATGGTGCGTTTAAATCGAGTGTATTCTGAAGTTGTTTATTTCTAACCACAGATCTGCCCACTTACGACAGCTCATAGAGGGCAGCTGCCATCCTGCCAAAGGCCAGTAACCCCACTGAGTTAAATCCGTTTCTGCTGAGATCCACAGCAGTGTGCACTGTCCCCAAGCCAAGCCTCAGACTTCTGCTCTGACTCAGCCCCCACCAGTTCCCTTCTACTCAGCACGCCCAAGCAACTTCCATTCCCAAATCCTTTCGGAAAAGCTGCTGCTGAGCAGAGGAAAGCCAGGTGAGTTGCAGCTCCCAAGCAAAATTTGGAGCCTCACAAGTAACTTTAACATAGAAGGCATAATGGGAAGTATTTAATTAAGATGTTTGCCGGATCTTATTATTCTCATCTTGCGTAAGGGAGGCTCCTGAAGGCTTTCATTGTGGAAGAGAGAAAGAAAACACATTAATTTAGGAGGAAGCCCAGGGAACAGATACACTCATTCTGTTCCATGTCTTTTTAATTAAGCATTTTCACAAACTCAAACTCTGTACCTGTCCCTCTGGTAGAGCTCCTGGACAGCGCGGGTCTTCAGAAGCATGTTCGTTTCCAAATCCTGACATGTACTGTAAAGTAAATCACACAATTCTTCAGTGTTTTGAAAACACAAGTGAAACCTCCCCAGACAACTCACCCCTCCCTTCCCTGTGCTTTTTTCCACGATCTTTGCACACACTGAGACTTTCCCCAAGTGGCCTGCTTGCTTGCTTCCATGCACCATCTTGCCATCTCCCAAGTCAGTTTCACTAGCCAAACCCTGTGGTGGGCTGAGAAGCACAATCAGGACCTGCTCTTCTGTTAGACCTGCATGTACATGTTGTTGACATTCTGTGCCAGGGATTGAAACTGGGGGTCATTTGGTTGCATGGTTCTCATGACACATCCCCATGGCCATCACAAGAAAGGTCAGGACTTAGCAGGGATGAGGAAGGAAAGGAGGCTCTGCTGGGACTTAAGCATCTCACTGATTTGCCCTAAATGAGTGTAACCCAGTGGGGTGTGAGCTGCCTACCATGGCAGCAAGCAAGAATTAAGGTGACCAATCAGGGCCCTAGGCAGTGTACAGGTGAGGGACCCATCCAACATGTTCTGTGTGAGGGCACAGTGGGAGGCTGCAGAACCTCAGGGGAGGCAGCCCTTCTGATCCTATAGAAAGAAGCATCCCCACTGCACCCTGCATGAATGCAGAGGTCTTTTGGCTGTGATCAATCGCTCAGCCTCATGGCCCAGCAACAGAGTTAAATATTCATGCTGCCTGCTGTCCCTCTCTGTGCATGCAGCCTGAAGGTGCTCATGATACTGCTGGGAGGCAGCTTGTTCACTCAGACCTCCCAGCTTCAGATTGACCTTTTCAAAATTCTTTACTTTCAGTGGCACAAAATTTGCTGCAGCCCCATCTTCTAGGGTAGGCAGGAGTGCATTTAGCTCGAGTTGGAGCAAGGTGCTTGCCCAGCTGTCCAATTTGGACAGAACAGTGCTGCCGTTGCCTTGAGCAGAGCCAGATTGGGTTTGTTACTGCGGTGCCTGGATTTTTTCACCCCATTCTCAGATTTTGCTGAAAAAACATGAGTTTTTCTCAGGTGCCTGTCAGCTATTTGTAAAAAAAGTCCCTTCCCAGAGGGATTCATGCTGGCCAGAAGCCCTGCCTCACCCGAACCTGCTTTCTGTAGGACTGGGGAGGATGGATCTCTCCTTACACACTCTGCTCTCCACCTGCTTCTGCACGAAGCACATTGGTATGCAAAGCAGCAGGCCATCTAACCACCCTTGGCAAAGGTATTGTGCTGGAGCATTTCTGCCTTTTTTTTCTTTTTTCCCCTCTTTCTGAAAGGAAATGCAGCACTACCTGCTGGAACTGCAGCAGTTCCAGAGTGAACCCACATCTCCCCACTGCATTCTCCTTCACCAGCTGCAAAGGATGAAGGCAGGAGGGAGCCCTGGCTGGCAGGCCAGCCTCTGCAAACAGGGAAAGAAAGGAGCAGGTAAGGATGCTCAGCATAGGGAGGGTTAATGAAACTGCTTTGCAGAACATCACCCCTGTCTGCAAAATACTTCAGCTTAAAGCTGGTGGAGAGTCTTTTTTGGGGAATGCAGGGAGAAGCTGCTGCATCATTGTCCAGGCAAATCAGTTTTTCTCTGCTAAGGGAAAAAAAAATCCTCAGGTAACCGTGTTGAGGGCTAAAAAAAAGACACTTCCCTCTGGCGGGCAGGACTGCAGCTGTGGGAGTCAGATGATGTCCTGATGGTGATTTATAGTCCTGTGGTTTCATTGCTCCAGGTTTTAACTGGCTGTTTGGTGTGGCTTTTCTCATTCACTCACTTTCTTTTGTCATTCCCCTGGGGAGGGTTGCCTCCTCGCCTTTCCTACAGGGGTCAGCACAGAACACGATGTGGTTTGCCAAAAAAATCCTGCACAAGCTCCCACGTGTAAACGCATGGCTGGGGAGTTAAAGCTTGCTATTATTTGCATGCACATATTCTGGCTGGGGAGTAGAGAATTTGTTTATTTATTTATCTTCCTTTCGTGATTTTATTTGCCTATTAGTTTATTTTCTAAGTAAACCAGTGCTGAGGGATAATTAAAATGTCATAGAGCTCAGATGCTTTGCAGCAAGAGGAAACAGCTGCTCAGGTCCAGCTTTGAGCCCGGCTCAGAAAGGCTGAAAACCTCCTAATGAATGGCTTTCCTTGTCTGTTGTCTCCAGAGTACAGCCACAGTTGTTGGGCTGGCTGTTCTCATCCCCTGTAGGCCAGAAGGGTGTTTTGGGGCATTGCAACCCTTCTTCCACATGATCAGCTGTCCTTCATGGCAAACCCTTCTTCCCTATGGCCAAACCTTCTTCTCCATTACCTCTCCTTCATCTCCATGACCACTTATTCTCCACAACCAAACCTTCTTCATGACCAACTCTTCTCCATGACACAGCACAGGGCAGTGACCTGCTGCTCAGTCCCTGCTCCTCCTCCATGGCACCTAGCTTATCAGGGACTTTTTTAGTCATTGGGCAGGTATTTTGCTGTGAAACAAGAAGTTCTCTGTGGTCCTTTGCTTTCCCTTCTCCTTTCAATTATTGTCATTATTTTGTTCACGATCCCATAGATTTTTATGTAAGCAGGATCTCAGGAGTATGTCTGATTCCACCTTGTTTTTGTTTTGTTGCTTTTCAGTAAAATAGGAGAGATGAAAGCACAGCACAGCATTAAAAATTCAGCAAAGTGCCTTGATTGCACTAACTGGGATGCAAAGCAGAGAGCTCGCAATGGGTGTCACGCTCTGACCTATAAACCATAACCTTTTGTTCACCAGATTAGACAGCAGGGATGGGAAAAAAATGCATTTGAAGTCTAAACACACGGGCTGCAAGATAATTAAGGCCCTTCTTCAAACGCTGCATAATACATTTCTCTATCTGCTACTGCTGCAGGATGCACGAAAGCAACATTCATCTCTGCACAAACAGCTCGCTGCCTTGTCCCAGCTCAGAGGGGCCAACACTGGCATGCTTGAGGCAAACTCACAGGAAGATGAATGAAAATAGGGGCAGTAGTGTGGTAAAAACAAATGGGCTTCCTAACAGTGCCAGCCCCTGTGTCTGGGGAGGAACATGGTGGTCCTGCGATGAGATGTCACCCACTCTAATGATGACCTGGTCCTCTGCACCACAAAAGTTCTGGCAAAATTTGAGATTTCAGTGCTATAAATGAGCAATAGAACAACATCCTGCCCTCCTTGCAATTCACAATTCACTCTGTGCTGGGAGAGGAGGGCATGGCGGCTTGGCTTGTCAGGAGGAACTGGCACTGAATTTTCCATTTACACTGAGACATCGACCAAGGATGGAGCTTCCCTGGGCCACTCAGCAAGATTGCACCAGGGTTGCAACAGCTGGGCAGATGTTAGTGGCTAGATTTCATAGGCTGAGGGGGAAACACCTCTTGGCAGCAGGGCAAGAGGGAGAGGGGAAGAACAAATAAGGTAATGCAGAGGTCCTGAACAGGCCCAGCCAGATCAAGAACGATTTCCAAAGGAGAAGAAAGTGACAATAGCCCATTTGGGTGAAATATAGCAAAATCCTATGTCTTCAGAGGTCTTTTAAACACACCTTAAAACACAGAAGGGAGACACGTTGCAACTAAATGGGACATTACCTCCAGCTAAAACCTATCACCAGACCTCAACTGCACAGCTCACTATCCTGCACCTCACTTCCACCAGCCCCTCCAGAGGGACCAGTCAGGGAGGCTTGGTGCCAAGTGAGGGGCATGGAGGGGATGACAAGGGCAGGCAGCCCCAGCACTTTTAGTCCCAGCACTCACAGCCTCTCACCTTCAGGCTTGTCATGGTCCTCTTGGTCTTCCTCCTTTGTCAGCAGATGGAAACTCCAAGCAGATAAATAGCCAACACAGCCTGATGTGGTTTCAGAAGTCTGTGAGTGTGTGTGTGTCCAGCCAGGAGGGCTGCATCAACTCAGCTGAGCTGGTCACAGACTGGAAGTGAGAAAGTCCAAGAGAGCTCTGGAATTGTTTGCTCAGCCCAGTCTGTGTTTAATCAAACACCAGCCTTCCCCGTGGGCCAGTCCCAGGAAGGGTTTGGAAATAAGAAATGGACGTGAGGGGGACACTGTCACTGCTGCTTTTTCCACCAGCTTTTAAACAAGGGGTTGTAGTTCCTACACATGGGCGAGAAGACAAGACAAGACATTTAAGAACAAAGAAAAGTCATTTTTGCAACTTATTTATGAGCTTCTACTATAAATCACACCCCTAGCAATTTTTGTGTATGGCCCTCTAAATGCATAAACACACATTTGCTCATTATGCCTCTGAGCCACATCGCATCTGGTCTTAGGGGACAGAAGGGATCATATCCCCATGCTGGTGAAGTCAGTGATTTTGGTGCAACACTGCGTGGCAACATTACACAGCACTTCAGGGGCAGAGGCAGGGAATGGCTCTGTACTTTACCATTAGAGCTGGTGAACAAAACTTACAAAACTCTGAAATATTAATATTTTGCAGGAAAGCTGTTGCCAAGGAAGGAGCAGAAACAAGCAGGTGGCACAGAATACTAATGAAAGCAACTCTGCATTTCCAGAAGTTGCAGAAAAAACAAAAGAGCAATTGATTTTATTTGATTTTTCTTTTTTACTTTGAATTCTCCTTTATCTTAAAGAAAAAAAAGAAAGAAAAGAAAAAAGTGGCAATGTTTTTTCCTTTCTGTAGCTCTACTGGGAGGCACACATTCAGATTTAGATGTGAACTTGTGGTTAACGTGCTGTGAGAGGGACAACTCCTAACAGCCTGCCTTCTCCAAAAACCTCCTTACACTACCCTCAGTAACACACCAAGGCCATTGAGACCTGCCACTTCTTAAAGTCTACAGAGAAAGGGAATGCCTTTGCTCAGTGCTAGTGCTTGGTAGATGCACTGCTCTAAAACAGCTCTTCTCTGTGGATGTGACAAAATGGCTCCAGCTCTGCTGCCTGTTCTTCCAGCAGCAGCTCTGGCAAACTAGGCTAACTGCTATGAAAGAGTGAATGGGGTATGTGAAATAGTGTAGTCAGCAGGACTAGAGAGGTGATCATCCCTCTGCTCTGCTGAGGTCACACCTCAAGTGCTGTGTTCAGTTTTGGGCCCCTCACTGCAGGAAAGACATCAAGGCCCTGAAGTGTGCCCAGAGAAGGGCAACGAAACTGGAGAGGGGTCTGGAGCACAAGTCTTATGGGGAGTGGCTGAGGGAATGGGGATTGTTCAGTCTGGAGAAGAGGAGGCTCAGGGGAAACTTTAATAGTCACTATAGCTCCCTGAATGGAGGTTGTGGCGAGGTGGATGTCAGCCTCCTCTCCCACTTAACTAGAGATAGGGAGAAAGGTAGTGGCCTTCAGTTGCACAGGAGAAGGTTCAGGTTGGATATTAGGGAAAAATTCTTCTCGGAAAGAATGGTGAGGCACTGGCACACGCTGCCTGGGGAAGTGGTGCAGTTCCATCCATGGAGTTGTTCAGTAACTGCAAATGTGGCACTGAGGGACATGGTTACTGGGCATGAGGTGAGGATGGATCAATGGTTGGACTTCATCTTAGAAGTATTTTCCAACCTTAATGACTCTATGATTTTTTAAGACAGTGATTATTTATAAGGGAGAGGTAGTTTGCCTTGGATATCCCCTCTTAGGATGACACAATAATACTGGTCAGGAATGACTTGAGAAAGTCACTACAGTAATATTCAACTTATGATCTCAGCTTTGAGATCACACCAGGCTGCCTAAGGCTTTATGCAGTATTGTTTTGAAGACTTCTAATGATGGAGAATGCACAGCCTCACCTGGCAGCTGTCCTTATGGTCAAAAAGTTTAACTTCTATGCAGCTCGCTCTTCCCATGTTTGAGTTAGTGGTAGATGTCTTATCATGGACTACTATGAAGAGGCAGGTGCTATCTATCTTCTTGGTATCGTCCCCACAGGTTTTGGCTCTCCCAAGGTTGCATCATTTATAGGCCAAACCAGCCCAGTCCCTCATCAGAGGAGAGCTCCGACCCCTGAGCATCTTGGCCACCGTTCAACTTACAGCCATTTGTCAGTCCTGTGTTGGGGTGGCCTAAAATTGGATGAAGCACCTCCTCTGTCCTACAATACTTGTCTTCCAGGAGCAGGAGCACCATAGCCAAAGCTGTCCACAGCACCTCACCAGCTCCTTGATTGCTTTTTTTTTTGTTTGTCCATGTGGCTGACAGGCTTTGAGGCAGTCTGTCTTCATTTTGGCATGCCGTTTCACACATGGCAAACACGAAATGAACAGAAACACAGCAAGCACAGATGCATCTCGGGAAACATGGGCTGTGGAGGAATTACTTGGAAATGGAGATAGAGAGATGTAGTCAAAGACTTGTCTCGAAAGATGCAAGACATTAATTGACAGCACTGTCTGGAGTTATGGTGCCTCAGAACCAGTAGAGACAATGAATGTTGTGGAGAGATGACCTAAGAAAGGAAGTGTCCCATTCTTTCTCAAACTCTGTGGGGATTTCTGTCTGTTTAAGATCAAGATTGGCCTACTGTCTCCAGCTTTCCTTGCTTAGACACTGCTGGGACTGAGTTTAGCTCTTCTGGCTTCATGAAGCTAGAGGTTATGTCACCAGGAACACACATAGCTAACCTGATTGTGTAGTGTAAGGGAGCAGTGCCTAGCTGATGTTTGCTCTAAAACAGATAAAAAATTATTCATATTACAATGTGGGTACAATGGGGACAAGTTCAACTGAGAATATCAATTGTTTTGTTTTGGCAGCACCTGAAAGTCTGAACCATAGACCTGAACCACCTTGTGCTAGGCTCTAGAAGAATGTAGACATAACAATCTCCAAGTTACAAGCTTTCTTTAGTTCTCAGTTACTGATTGCCATCTTACCCATATGCCCAGGAAGACTGTCTCTATACACTTGCCTCTTCTAGCATTACCATAAGAAATCATGTCAGCACCAAGGAATTCTCCCCTTCAAACAGAACTGCAAATAATTTAGCTAACCCTGAACAGCGATTCATCATAGCCAAAGAAATAAAGTACTCAGCATCTGCCATCTACCCTGGAGATTCCTTTCTTACCAGACAATATGTAAGGGTAGAGTTTATCTCACATTTTCTGACATTGAAGAATTACCTGTTTTGGAAAACAAAGTTACAAAGTTTCAGGGGCTTCAAGATCCGCTTCCCCTTCCTTGAGCCGTGCAGTGGGACTTCATCTTACATTCTTCTTCAAAAACATACATTTCATTTTGCTCAATAGGTTTTTACAGGTCCTGCTCACTTGTTTTCTTCTGATGTGTCAGATGAAAATAAAGGCCTTGTTTTTATGAAGGATGCTCCAAAAGTAATGGTTCCCATTTATTTCAATGAAAACTACAACAGGTACAAAGAGCACAATAACACTATTTGGTAGAGCAAATTCTCAGCTACAAAACACTAGATTTCAATGTAGTCACCACCACTAGCTATGCATTTTTGCCAGCAATGAACAAAAGCCTGCATGTCACACTTGTCAAAATCTTCATGGCCACCTGGGACATGGCTTGCCTTTCATGTTGCTTTTGACACCACTGACACCCACCACCACTGCCTCAGTGTGCTCACATCCACTGTCTGGTCCCCATAAATGTTCAGCAAGCATTGGTGAATGTCAATGGGTGCCATTTTTTCTGCATGGATGAATTCAATGACACACCTTTAATTCACCACACTTCCATGTCAGATATCATTTTGTCAGATTGCTCCTCTGCTGCCGGTTGTCACACAGCAACAGAATGGAAGGTTAAACCTTTACTGTCATACCACCAACACCCACCTCTGATTTTGTGAGCTAACATAATAAAATAGGAAACATTACTTTTGGACCATCCCTCCTAACTATGGGCAGACCTACTTCCTACTTGTTTTCTTCTTTAACATAAGGAAATACACGGTGCAATCATTTTACTAACTTGGCATGCTACAGCAATGTTTCAAAGCTTATTAGTCTGTCTACCCTCACTTTTCCATTTTATTCAGGGAAAAACATAATGAGATGCTGTTGAACTAATGTTTCTGGCCTTTTTGATTTATTGATCTCCAAATTATACGAAATGCAGAAAAGAAAGCTTTTTAACATATCTGTGGTGTTTCTGACCCAGCCTATCCAACTTAGGTAAATCGTAAATTCATAGACTATTCCCCATTGCCTTGTTGTCCTTCATGTGTCACACTGCAAAATGTTGCCAAGAGCTATTTGTGTTCTCCAGTGATGAAGGTATTCAAAACTCAAGTGGACACAGTTCTGGGCAACTTGCTCCAGTTGCTTCTCCTTGAGCAGGGGTATCAGGTGCTCTCAAGAAGTCTCTTCCAACATTAGTGATTCTGTGATTCAGCTTTGCCAACTCTTTAGTTAGTTGGAGGGGCTCTAAAATATAGATCTTATGAAATATTAAGTACGGAGGTACTTTATTAATGTTATAGCAACTGACTTTGTTGCTATATGAATCATAAATATGATTCATAGTCACAATGAATTGCTATCACATAAACATGATTCATAAACAAAATGAATTGGTGGAGGAAGAATGAGCTTTAAGAATATGCAGTGCTTTTTCAGCTACCTTTCTAGGTTTATGACCTTTGTCCAATGCACGGCTTCATGTGGCCTTTACCCCAGAGAGATTCCAGCTGTAGTGTATGATGAAAGTCGTAAGAGAAATGTGAAAAAACAGGGCATTGGCTGCTACAGCCATGCATCTCATGCACCTGCAGCTGAGTAGCTGATATCTATTCTCACAAGCATTGTGATACAGATTTGCAAAGATGTGCAAGGAGCTCATCTATATCAGGGAGGCAGAATGAAAGTACCAAGGGGTTTGCTTGAAAATTTAACAGCTTGAAAATGGCATCTGGTGTTCAGCATATCAGTGGTGAATGGAAAATAAGAGGGAAAATAGGAAATGCCTTTCAAATGGAAAAGCTTATACTGGCCCAATAGACAAGGGGACTCAAATAACTTGACTTTATAGCAAATACATTGAAACACATTTTTTCCTGCCAAATCACCTTCAAGTTCAGGTGGTGGGGCATTGAGAGGTAAATGACACGGGTGCTGGGGAAAAAGGAAAGACAAGGAACTTCTGGCCTTTCCTTCTCTATGCACTCCATGAGCATTTAGTGCTATGTGACAAAGGCAAGGCTATATGTTCTTCACTGTCTCTTCACTGTAATTCTTGTCCCTTAAGGCATACTTTAGCCAGATCAGAGCCTACAGCTTCTCAAGTAGGTGACACTAAATATGAAGGAGATGTTGATTCCCTTGAGGACAGAGAGGCTTTGCAGAGAGATCTTGGCAAACTGGGCAATCACCAGTCATATGAAATTCAATAAGAGCAACTGCACTTGGGACGGGACAACCCTGGATCTGTGTGTACAGAGGACAAAAGGCTGGAGAGCAGTCCCACGAAATGGGATCAGGGGGTACCAGTTGATGGCAAGTTGAATCTGAGCCAGCAGTTGCCCTGGCAGCCTAAAGGGCCAACCATACCCTGGTGTGCATCAGGCCCAGCACTACCAGCCAGGCAGGGGAAGGGGTTGTCCTGCTCTGCTCTGTGCTGTGCGGCCTCACCTCCTGCACTGGGTGCAGCTGTGGGTGCCACAATGTAAGAAGGACATAAAACTGTGAGAGAGCATCTAAAGGAGGGTTACAAAGATGGTTATGGGTATGGAGGACAAGGTGTGTGAGGAGGGGCTGAGGTTCCTTTGTGCTCAGCCCAGAGCAGAGGAGCTGAGGGGAGGCCTGATGGCGGCTGCAGCTCCTCACAGGGAGCGGAGGGGCAGCGCTGAGCTCTGCTCTGTGTGACAGCGACAGGTCCGAGGGAACGGCATGGAGCTGTGTCAGGGGAGGGCAGATGGGGGTGAGGGACAGGGTCTGCACCACAGGGCAGTACTGCTTTCCAGTACAGACCACAGTCCACCAGTGCTACTACAATGAGAACAATTGCTGACTCATCGCTCTCCATCACTTCTTGTAGCAAGTGGTTGTCCTATCCCCAGTGCATCACTATTCTACTCTGTGTGTGTTGACCTGAACACACTCACAAGACTTGGGAAAGCCTCAAAGCAGCACAGGTGAGTTTTACAACTGACACAGGCAACAAGCTTCGCAAGAGATACAGCATGACATTTTCATCTGTATGAAACATAATAGTCAGAACCATGGCAGATGTCATCCCAAATGTTTTGAAATGCCTAGAAATTTTACTCTGGTAAACTACTGGATTTGACACGTATGCACAAGGTACATAAGAAGCAACAGAAAGATGTGTTCTCTCTTCTGTGGCCACGGACCTACTGTTGTGATTCCCCATTGCTTTTCATGGTCACGTTATCTTATTTCTAAAGGCACCAATCTTCTTTCCTTTGTCCATCTAAAACGCACTCATTAATGTATATTTTTCTTAAGTTATTCATTCACTGCTGACTGCAATTTCATTGTCCCTAACCTGCATTTCTTCATTTTTTTTCCCCTCTATTTTTTAACTCTTTACACACTGCCAAATCCTACAGGAGCTCTCTAGAGCAGCTGTCTTTGTTTATTTACTTTTATACTGCCTAAAATTAAATTCTTTCTTGGAATCTCTCACCATAATATGAGACAAAAAAGCAATAATAATATTCACACTTTTTTTTTTTTTTTTTTTAGCACTGCCAACAGCTTTGTGGCAAAAAGGCTCTTCTTAATAACATGCACGTTTTTTGTAGAGTGGCTGTAATGAAATATGTCCTTGTCTTTTTGCTGGGACCACTCAGCAGCAGATGCCAGACAGGTTAATTATTATCATTTATTTGTGCAGGAAAGGTCATAAAAGTCATCTACAGCAGAGAGCACACACTTCTTGTCACAGAAAAACAGATGCTGCATGGATAGAGGCTGGAGAAGCCACCTGCTCACTTTGCTGTGATGCTTCAGCCTTCAGGCTAGAAAAGCCACTTCCAGAAGATGGGAGAAAATTTAGTCACCTTGGTCTGTTCTGCCCTTCCCCCTGAGCAGCCAAGAAGGGTGGCTCCTGTTGGACAGTCGCTGAATTTTGTGATACAATCTTTTTTTTTTTTTTTTCATCAGGGACAGGAGAGCCCATCAAGTCCATGTAAGCCGGAGTCGAACAAACCTCAGGAAGAGAGGGTGGCATCAGATGCCAAGATATAAACTCTGAGCTTAGTCCTAGACCTACTAAGCTTTCTTGGCTTTTAATAAATCTTTAACCCAAAGCCAGTGGTTCATTTCCACTTTGTAAATGTTAATTTTCAGGTCAAAGGGAACATAGAAGTGCATGATTTAATTGCACACTGTTTTATTTCATGCTCCATCTCCTAGTCAAAAGAAATGACTGCTTTGGGTTCACACACAGCACTGACTTCTGTTCAGTTATATAGCCAAGAAAGAAGCTGGATTTTTATTTATGTGCTTGTGCTGCATTTGATATCTTGAGAGAAGGCTGTGCTGAGGAGGAATTTGCCTGCACATTTTCATTAGGTATGGAGCCAGAGTTTCTTAACATTGACAAGCCCAAGGGGCACAACAAAATCTATCTCAATGAAATAATTTCAAAGCAGGAAAAAGAAAATATGCCTGTACTTCATGTTATTTGCAGTAAAGATTGGCTAAGAAACTGAACTGACAAAGATAGAATTTGTGGTCTCTTTGAAGAGCACACATAGCTTCAATAATCTAAACCAGCTTCCTTCTAAGTATTCTGGGGGACTTTTCCTCAGAGCTGTATTAAAGAACATCTTTCAGAAAACTAATTCTACTCTGAAAAAAATCAATGACAAATGTGCTTTCTTCTACTGTTTCCAGGTGTCATCACTCTCACTGTTAGGAAACTACATCTACTTTCAAGATCTGTTCAGAGTCTTGTTCTGGGAATCGCAGTTTAGTTCCCACACCACATTCCTATCACTACATTGAAAATACATGCATTTGAATGGTGGAGTATTTGGTGGATACAGAATTGGTTGGATGGCCAGAGCCAGAGGATTATGGTCAATGGCTCTATGGTCCAGGTGGAGGCCAGTGATAAGTGGTGTCCTCCAGGGGTCAGCCTGGAGATAACGCTCTTCAACATCTTTATGAATCACATAGGCAGAGGGATTGAGTACAGCTTCAACAAATTTTCAGATGACACCAAGATGAGTAGCACAGCTGACACAATAGAAGGGAAGAATGCTGTCCAGAGAGACCTGGACAAGCTTGAACAGTGCATCCAACTGAATTTAAATGAGGTGCAACAAGGTCAAGTGCAAGGTATTGCACTTGGGTCAGGGCAGTCCCAGATATGTGTAAAAACTGAAAATAACTCCTTGACAGCAATCCTGATGAAAAGGGCTTGGGGATTCTAGTGAATGAAAAACTTGATACAAGCCAAGTGTATATTTGCAGCTCAAAAGGCCAACAGTATCTGAGACTGCATCAAAAGAGGGGTGGCCAGCAGGATGAGGGAGGTGACTTTTTCTGCTCTGCCTTTGTGACACCTCATCTGCAGCACTGCATCTGGGCCTGAGGCCAGCAATACAAGAAAGACACAGAGCTGTTGGAGTGGATTCAGAGGAGCGCCACTAAGATGACCAGAGGGCTGGAGCACCTCTCCTATGAAGAAAGGTTGAGGAATTTGGATTTGTTCAGTGTAGAGAAGAGAAAGCTCCAGGGAGACCTCAGTGTGGCCTTCCAGTAATTGAAGGGAGCTTGTAAACAGGATGGAGACTGACATGGTCTGATAGTAATAGGATGAGGGCAAATGATTTTCAGCTGGAAGAAGGGAGATTTGTATTAGATACTAGGAGAAAATGTTTTACTCAGTGTGAGGCACTGGAACAAGTTGCCCAAAAAAGCTATGGATGCCTCATCCCTGGAGGCATTCAAGGTCATGTCGGTTGGGCTCCTGGGCAACCTGATCTGGTGTGTGACAACCCTGCCCATGGCAGTGGGATTGGAACAAGATGATCCTTAAGGTACCTTCCAATCCAAGCCATTCTATGATTCTTCAGTATTATGATTACAGCTCTGCCTGCACAACTGCAAAGCCTCTGTGCTGCTGTTAGTGATGTTGATGTTAGTGATGAAGACTTAGCTCCTTCACTGACCATTCTGATACACTATGAAGAAAGCAAAGGCCATTCTTCATTTTCCCTGTTTGCTGATCACATATTACAATAAACTACAGTAGTGCAAATGGGTAATGCTAAGAGAAATGCTTCTGTTTGTAAGCCAGTGTTTCGGCTATGTAGTGGTTTCTCACGAGGTAGCAGATCTTTGTAGTTGATAGGACATTTGAAGAGGATTGGGACTTATTTTTGTCCTCCTTTCCCTCTTCCACTTAACATCTACCTGATGTTTTTTCTGAAAACAGCGCCTGTCAGAGAAGCTAATACACAGTGCTGCAGTAAAGAACACCCTAAGGAAAGCTTTACCTCTGAGTACTTTCTGGTAACTTGCCAGCCAGTGACAGGTTCATCAATAATGATAATGGCATTTGTCAGAAAAAAACTAGTGCACTAAGCTATAGACATGCTCAGCACTATAAAGGAATCAAAGAATCCAGTATCCTCTTATGGAAAGAGAGACAGAACAAGAGCTCTAATGGGAAGAGCTGGCTAACAAAAGAAAGGGAATAGAAGGATTAAGCTCCCTTTGCTGAATAGCAGAAGCAGCTTTTGTGGATGAGCAAGGAGCTCATGCGCAAACTGAAAGGGAAAAAGAAGGTCCATGAAATGTGGAAAAAGGGTCTGACCACTTGGGAAGAATATAGAAATGTTGTCAGGGCCTGCAGGGATGCGACGAGGAAGGCTGAAGCGCACCTGGAATTGAATCTAGCAAAGGTGGTAAAGGATAATAAAAAAGGCTTTTTTAAGTATTTTAACAGTAAAAGGAAGACTAGGGAGAATGTAGGTCCCCTACTAAGTGAGGGGGGTGTTCTGGTAACGGGGAATGCTGAGAAGGCGGAGATACTGAACGCCTTCTTTGCTTCTGTCTTCGGTGAAAAAGCTCCCCCTCGGGAATCCCAGGCCCTGGTGGTTAGTGAGAAGGTCTGGGGAATGGAAGACTTCCCTTTAGACAGGGAAGAGGTGGTCCGAGAGCGCCTAGGCAACACCAATGTTCATAAATCCATGGGACCCGATGGGGTGCATCCACGAGTGCTGAGGGAGCTGGCAGAAGTGATTGCTGAACTGCTCTCTATCATCTTTGAGAGGTCTTGGAGAATGCGGGAGGTGCCTGAAGACTGGAGGATAGCCAATGTCACTCTGGTCTTCAAAAAGGGCAAGAAGGAAGATCCAGGTAATTACAGGCCAGTCAGCCTCACCTCTCTCCCTGGAAAGGTGATGGAACAGATTGTGCTGGATGCCATCTCCAGACAACTGGAAGAAAAGGTTATCAGGAGTAGTCAGCATGGGTTCACCAGGGGGAGGTCATGCTTGACCAACCTGGTAGCCTTCTATGATGTTGTCACTGGATGGGTGGACGGGGAGGAAGCAGTGGATGTAGTCTACCTTGATTTCAGCAAGGCATTTGACACTGTCTCCCACGACATCCTTATAACGA